ATGGGCACGACATAACATTATTACCTCATACAGTTCTGGCTTGTTGGCAGGTGCTGGTTAAGTTAAAGCAGAGAGGCAAAACATATCAAATCAGATATGAGACTAATGAAAATATGTGCAAGAGTAAAAGAAGTTCGAGATGCTTTGATTTTTTAGAGGCTCATGATTAAGCAGGTTCTCTCACTCACCTCCTCCCATCACTCCAGAGGCAGGTATTCCATGAAACATGATGAACTAACGTACAAAACAATTGAAGCGAGAATCAGATCATTATGTTTGGTTTAGCCACTGGTCAGCGCTATTCTCAGTGGAATAAATGATATACACAGTGGTTGCATATCAAAAGCCACTGATCTGATCTCAATATGTTTACAGACACATTGTGGACACGGAAATACAATGAAACTTATAGACAGAGTAGACAGACAATATGTGTTACTCATTAGATTTTACACATTTAACGAACTGTCTGATGCAAGGTATTGTGAATCCTAAACGGAGTATATAATACAACCGCTAATTTTGTTTTGTTTATTTCCTGACAAATAACGTACACAGCGATGTTAGCATAGCTAACGTTAGCTAGCTAAGATATTGCTTTCAATCCGCAGTGAGAGTACAAGAGACGTTGATGTCTCTCTTAATTCACAGCTTATATACGTCTATAACGTTAATGTGGTTATGAGATGACATATTATTAAAACACTAAAGGCATTTTTAGCAAAAACGCACCAGGAAAAAGAGAATTCACTCACCCTTATATTGACGTCGCCCACCGGATCGTGACGTCGCCGGATGATTTCGTAACGTCCTGTTTTCGCCGACTTATTAATTACAAAACTTGTTTATGCAAATAATATACTATTTAATCTCAAGTAATAGGAATCATTATTTATTAAATTTAACGTTCGGAGAAAACTGTAACATTTATGCACATGTTTCAAGGTGACGGGTTGCCAAGTCCCTTTAATATTTCTACACTAATAAATATATCGCACTTTATTCACTCACTTATGTAATGCATAACTACATTATAGTATAATAGCTGTCAGTGATATCGTGTATTATACATCATCGTAAGGCGATCACCTTCATTATTATAACCAGTGCTATTAATCTAACAGAACTGATTTATCGGTCATTCACAAGCATACTTGGCAACCCGAGACTGTCTTTGAATACGCGCGCGGGAATGACTAGACAGCTAACAGTGAACAGAGGAGCTCGAGAAACTGTATAGAAATAACTCAAATATAACGTTGTAAAAGTTAATGTCGATTGTTAGCTTTATTTGTTATGAGACTGTGAGCGCTTCAGGGAATTGTTTGTCCAGTATATAAAGAGAGGCTGGTTATTTGAGTGCGTGGGATTTGTAAACAATGAAATCCACAAAGAACACTAAAGTGAAACCTGTAGCATCAGCTAAAGAAGAAGAGTGTGGAATATGGCTCGACACAAAAGAGTTAAAAGAAAAGAAACAACAGGTAACAACAACTGAATTCTAATTAAATATATTTAGACCAAATCTAACCTTTTAAGTGTATTGAAAATTTCTTCGTAAGAAAAAAAATAACACTACATGAAAGATGAAGGGATCTCAGATAGCTTTTTTAATTTTTTCAGAAACAGCTGACCCGTCCAATATCCAAATTCCTGAACCCACTTGCGAGATCAGGGGGATACAGTATGGCAGTCGCACTCAGCTTCACTCAGACCAAACTCAACATGCCTGTAACTAGACAAAGCACTATATCAACCTTCTTTTCACCCAAATCCAGAGGTAAGACATCCCAGAGTTCTTTCATACTGTAACTGTTTCAGTTTACGTGATATTTTAAAATATATATACCTTTAATGTGATGATAAACTGTTAAAGCTAAATAATAATTACCTTTTGTCCTTTTCTGACTGGCATTTGTTTGCCCAGACCCTAACCCAAGTGCGGCTTATTCTGGGTTGTCCAGTTCCATGCACACAGAGGCACACGCCAGGGCCAAACGGAAACATGATGTGACTTTGGAGCCATTTACAGAGTCAACCAGTCAAATATCTGAGGAGCACTGTGATGAAGATTTTGAAAGATTGTCAGCCAAGGACCAAAAAGAACAGTCTTTTCTCCATTTAATATGTGGAACTGAGCCAGAGGAAGAAGAACCGTCTGAAAAAAGGAGACATGTTGTCCATTATACAGAAAATGTGTTAGAGACACAAGAATATTGGAATAAAGAAGCTTCAAATGAATATCCAAATCAGACAATTCCTGAAACTGAGACTTTCTTTCATGAGGAGTCCCCGGAGCACTATGATCTGATGGTCTGGAAGCCCTCTGAAGATGCACATAAGCATTTCCTGAAGTCTCCAGGTCCTAAACACACGGACAAACATGATTTAAGAGATCAGAAGGCCTCAGTTAAGGGGTCTATCTTAACTTCTAGGCCTGCCAATGAAAACCACAAAAGATGGAGTGCTTCTGTGAATACTAATAAAAATCAGGAGCAGTCTTGGCACAAAAATAAGGCATCACCCATGAAACGGATGGGGAAAGAGAATAGCTGGCCTGCATCACCTATTAAAAATGCTCCAACATCGCCTTTTAAACACCATCTCATTTCCAGTCCAGCTAAGTGCAGGTTAAAGGAGAAATACACTTTTCCCCCCAAAAAATCAGGTAAGGAACTTGTAAACACAGAGACGGTTGGAGAAACTTTTGCTACGCTGTTTACTCAGGACTCAGAGGGCTTCTGTGTGATTGCTCATCGTGACCAGCACTTAAGGAGCCCACTAAGAGACCAGAGCAATTTATCTGTGGGCAAAGATTACGGGAATAGTCCATCTGCCACTTCTTTAGGAAAAGAGGAGGAGGAATCAGATCTAGAGCCAGAGATGCTTTTCACCCAAGACTCTGAGGGAAACATGGTCATCAAGCATTAGCCAGAAACCGATGCGAAATACCACAAGAACGCAGAATTTTAAGTGTTTTTTTTAATTGATTTTCTTTCTTAAAATTTTGAAGCGCTTGATTTTGTTAAAGTTGTAATTAAAATATTTGAAAATTTAAATGAACATTCAATTCAAAAATAAACATTTGTACAAGTACAAATAAACCCCAAAAATGATTTGTTGTGTAATATTTGATAAAGATTCACTGCTTGCCAGCAGATGGCACCATGAAGCTTTTACTGTCAATGTTTGGTGTATTCCTTAAGCTGTGCTTGTAGAATCTGTGTATTTTAAAGTAGGACATGACGTGTCACATTAAACAAGTTGAGTACATTTGAGTTTAAAAGCTCTATCATTTGAAATTAATTTACGTTTTGTATTGCTTTAAATTACCATCATGGAGCAAGGTGAATACTTCACATTCTGTTCTCATTTGCCAAGTTGATGATCCACCATTGCTGCTCTGTTTAAATTTGCTGTCAGGGACAGTTTCATTAAAGAGCCATGTGCTGACAAATTCACTCATTTTTCATGCATTTATAATAAATGCCATGGACTCCCAAATGTAATGATCTCCTTAAGGGACCCCTTCCTAAAATATAAAGGCAGTTTCATGTATAAAAACCCATTTATACTGTGTGTGAAAAATATTAAGTGAGATATTAGAAATACAACAAAATTAGATTAAAAACATTAGATTACCATTTTTATAGTGAATTAACTCTCATATTTTTCTTGTACTAAAGCAAAATTTAAACAACAGGGGTTTTTTTCACATAACTTTTTTGCTGATTAGTTTTTTGTTACTGTTAAAAACTAGTATTGTCAGTACAATAAATACAATCTGATTCCTGATCATTCTTTAGAATGAAAGTAAAAATTATGCCTAATTAATATCTTAAGTGCACATTTTAACTGACAGCTCTATACATTTAGCAAAAATCTTTGTCCTTTTTGACAAAGCTTAATCAGAAGATGGTAAAAAAAATAATAATAAAAATAATTGAGTTTACAATTATTTTATTTGATTAAATTGATATGGTAACGTGAAAATACTTTGGTAACTTACAATTTAAGGTGTGTGATTTAATACAGTGTACACGTTCTACTTTGTTTAAGCATCATTAATAAATGTGCATTACATTGTTTAATTAAATGTCGACTGTTTACTGACCAAGCAAATATAACATAATTCCCTTTTATGGACTGAAGAATGCTACATATTAACACATGTTGGCATACATTCAAAATGAGCTGAAGTGTTCAAGACCTTCCTGTTGAAGAAACATTTAAAGCATGTAAATTTACAAGCAATGTAAATATGTGAGTGCAAAGTGAGAACGTCTAGGAAACTATTTTGGACATGAAGTTTGATATTTAGTCGCCATATTTACTTAATGTTATAACACAGCACGTCATTACTGGTGTTGAATGACGTGGTGCCTGTCAATACAAACATTTGACTACCAAAAGCTAATCTCAGAAATGAGTAGTCTGAGATTATAAATGAAATATAGAGTGATAAAACTCAGCAATATTTGAACTATATTAAAATAATATAAAATCTTATAAACAATTATCCCCCAAAGGCACTCGTTCATTCGCAGAACAAAGACCATTTATCACACAGAATAAAAATTGGTTTGATTGTAAAATATCCATTGATTTTTCTCCTTTGCTCATGATTGCACATATCCTGCATCCAAAGCCTGAAGATACAAGATTACCTTGCCAAATAAAAGTTTTTGTGTGTGTGTGTTTTTTTTGCAGAAGAAAATATTATGAACTGAAACTGGGATTTGTAATCTAGGAAATGTAAAATGTGACTGCACAAAACATAAAGAACTGGTTTCTCCATAAAAACAAGTTAAATATAGCTAAATAGTCATAATATTTTGAGAATTTTTTTTTTTATGTTTTATTATATTGCTACACAGAACCAACATGTATTTAACATGAGAATTTATAACATCAACACAAAGTACTTTATAATGTCAAAAAAGACAAAAACAAACAAAATCCATACTTTAATAAATGAATGATTTTTTAAAATAAAATATATATTGTCATAGGAATAAGTAAACATTTGATTGCTTACTGATTCATTATTTTAACTTAAGTATAAGTACTTTGAGTTGCTGCCTAAAAAAATTCCCATATTCACACATAATGGTGCCATCATCTGTAATTACTTTTAATGTATAATAATTAATATATGTATATTATGTTTTTTTATTGCCGCTTAGTTAAGGAGAAACATCTCCATTTGTTGAAATGTTTCATAATTGGTTTGTGGAAAATGGAACTTTTTGTCCATATTTTGCATTTTCTGAGCCTAAATCTACATCTCACAACCACAATGTATGAATTCTTCCGTCTCCACTTGTTAGTGATACAGTGAAAGTGCATGAAGAATTCTGGGTAGGAGGAAAGCGATGACGAGCTGGAAAAGGAATCAACCAGCAATCTTTGTGGGCTCTGTCACCAGGCTGGAGCCGTCCCAAACCGTTGTAAACTGCTCTGGGATTGGAAACTCCCTCTGTTGAATACACAAGAAGATATTAGTCAAATAATGTATAAACAATGCTTCAACCTTTAAGGCTCATATTTGAATGTAAAGCAGGTCAAATCTCTGGAATAGAACATTGTTATTTTGGTACATGACATAATGTATCAAGAAAGTTATTTGTTAAAATGAAAGGTTATGCTAGCTCTATTTGTAGATATTTCCAGTGTAAATAAACTTACATAATCATCTTCTCCCTCAGGAACGAGGACGTTCATCTCAGAGCTCTTGGCACTGACAATCTCACAGTCAAGTGAATCCTTGCTCAAGTAGACATGGCACCCCTCAGTCTTGTTAATGGAAATAATAGGAACTTTTCCCATTACCTGAAAGGCCAAAAACAAGTTATGTGTTGTTCACAGGCAACAAAATATAGTCCAAAGTCCAAAAACTACAATTAGCTTAAAAGAATTTGCATTTTTGAGCCATGAGTTCCTACTTGGTGAAAACGGGCTACCA